ACAGCTACGGCTTATCGCAGCAAAAGGATACAAAGCAAACCAGCAAAGGAAAAAGGATGAAGTCTGGAGGAAACCAGGTGCAAGTTTCCAAGAGTCTTTCTTCTACCAGTGGAATCACACAGGATGTGTTTAATTTCTCCCAGAATGAACACATGTGAATGAACACATGTGCTAACACATATGAAATGTGTAGGCTGCCAGGGAAATTCATCGGAGACTCAGTGCTCAGGATTCTTTGTTGGGGTTGGCCATGCAGGTATCCTCTGCCAACAGGCGCCAAAATCTCAGTCTCCAGGTGTTCGGCACAAACCACGCTGTCTGTAGAAACACTGCCGGCGAAAACACTCCTAAAACTTAGGTTCCCAGATGCCAGTCAATGGTCAACCTTACAGATAGGCTTTTCTAAGGATAGTAAAATCCTTTTCTGCACAAGGACTTGCTATATGAATATAATGCAAATTTTCTTATGCAATATGAAAAAAATTACTTTCTGATTAAAAAAAAAATCTCACTTTCAGAATTTTTTATATTCAGAATGTTAATCACAGTATTGTTTCTATTATTAAAAAAAAGGTAAACAAGTATCCAAAAATTGTGCAATGGCTTAGTAAATTACAGAATAGTAGTATAAAGCAATATTAAGTAGCCATTAAAATTATATTTCTTTAAAAAATATTTTTATTCATTTCAGAGATGAAGGGATTGGGAAAAAGAGATAGAACCATCAATGATGGGAGAGAATCATTGGTTGATTGCCTCCTGCATGCCCTACATCTGGGATTAGCCCTCAATCCAGGCATATGCCTTGACCAGGAACTGAACTGTGAACTCCTGATTCATAGGTTGATGCTCAACCACTGAGCCACACTGGCCAGGCAAAATTATGTTTTTGAGGAACAAAATGATTATTCTAGGGAGTAAATCAGCATAAATCAGTACACACACACACACACACACACACACACACACACACACATACACACATCTATATAATAAAAGCCTAAGCAACCTTTACAGCAGAACGACCAGAACGAGCCGAATCCAGTTTGGCTCAGTGGATAGAGCGTCGGCCTGTGGACTGAAAGGTCCCGGGTTCGATTCCGGTCAAAGGCATGTACCTTGGTTGCGGGCACATCTCCAGTGGGAGGTGTGCAAGAGGCAAGCTGATCGATGATTCTCTCTCATCGATGTTTCTAACTCTCTGTCTCTCTCTCTCTTCCTCTCTGTAAAAAATCAATACAATATATTTTAAAAAAAAAAGAAGTCTGTGTCTATCATTAAAAAAAAACCCACAAAAATAAACAGAACGACTGGTTGCTATGATGCTCACTGACCACCAGGGGGAAGAAGACGTTCAACGCAGGAGCTGACCCCTGGTGGTCAGTGCGCTCACGGCGTGTGTGAGTGCCGCTCTGCCAGAAGCTGGTGAGCGCAGCCGCAGTGGCAGTGGCAGGTGGCAGCCTCTCCTGCCTCCAGGCAGCACTAAGGAGCAGCAAGCCAAGCGGCAAGGAACAGTGAGCAGGCGGGTGGTAAGGAGCAAGGGGTCCTGGACTGTGAGAGGATGCAGGCCGGGTTCAAGATCATTATGTTTCAAAATATTTTAGATATAAAGGTTTGTGGAGACAAAGCAAAGATTTTTGCTAAAGTGTTAAATAGTGTGCGCAGTGAGTAATATGAGTACAATGTATAAGGCAGCTTGATTCTCAGAATGGCAAACAACCATTTAAAATGCACTTTTTCTATTTAATATGCTTCGTTCTTCAATTAGCTAACATTGAAAAAATAGTAAAGAGGGGAGATTTTATAAACATCAAAGAAAGTACATTAACTAATTTTTATTGGAAGGAAGAAATGATTCACAAACTAGCAAATCTAAAACAAAAATGCTTCTTTTTGATAGCTAGAACAAAGGATGAATTTCCTAAATTACTTTGAATGTTACATGATCACAATTTATCTACAATCTGTATTACTAAAATAAGTCACATACATTTTTGAAGTTTTAGGGAGGATTGGATAATTACACCACAAACTTCTGGAGTAGGTGATTTCCAACGTATTCAGTTCCAATTCCCTTCCATGTGCTTTAACACATCTCCTTCATTACTCAGACACTGCTCCACAGAAAGCTATTTTTGTATTGCCAGATAGATTCTCCAGCAGGGCATCAAATACCAGCTGTATAGAAGCAGACCACTATTTATCCTCTTATCCCTAGACAGATGAAGTGGCTTGCAGCTTATTTTAAATCACAAAGCAATTCTTTTGTGACTGAATTGGCCCAAGGCTGGGGAGGTTGTGCAATTCACTTCCCACATGAGCTCCACTTGTGGGGCTTCCAGGTCCCGCCAGAACAGGAAAACCTTGAAGCACTCCATGTGGGGCAGTGCGCTCTTTGTCTCTGAATTGGTTCCTGAGCCAAGTCAGAAAAACCAAATACTAAAAAGCCATTTCAATGGCAAGTACACTTAGAGAGGGGGTGGGTGGGTGGCTGGGGGGGGGGGGGGGTCCAGAACTTTTCTGGTTAGGTAGAGAACGTGGTTAACCTAAATTGAACATGGGGCACAAATGGAGGCAACAAAAAACACACTCAACAGTGGTTGAATGTTCACCTGTGAACCAGGAGGTCTGGTTCGATTCCAACTCAGGGAACATGCCCAGGTTGCAGGCTTGATCCCCAGTGTGGGGCAAGCATGCAGGAGGCAGCCAATCAATGGTTCTCTCTCATCATTGATGTTTCTCTTTATCACTCTCCCTTCCTCTCTGAAACCAATAAAAATATATTTAAACACACACACACACACACACACACAAACAAAACCCCACACCTACTGCCTCAGTTTAGCTAAGCAATTTTTTTGAAAAAAAAAAAATATATTTTTTTTTTAATGAAATGTGTCTAAGGAGGTGGTGGGGAAAGAGGGCAGATGAACAAACTATTACTATAGTTTCTTCTGAGTAAAACCTACTCACTAATCAAAGTCAGTAACTGCTGCTTGCTACATGGTAGTTCATATATGATCAATAGTCCTTCAAAGACTTTTTTCTGCTTCATCTTTTCTTCTTTCCAGGAATAAATAGATTATAAGTGACTTGGAGTAAAAAAAAACACCTGGGTTCAGATCATGTCCCTGTCATAATATGCATTAACAATTTCTAGGCACTATACTTTCCTGCCATTTGTCACTTCTGAATTTTAGGCTTTACCTCTATGAAGTGGGTACACCAACAAATGTCCCCCTTTCATAGGTGATTGTGTAGAAAAAAGTATAAGCAAACGGTAAAGTGCTATCTAAGCATTTATTATTGTTGTTGCTATTAGGTCTTCCAGACATATAGAAAGTACTCAACAAATGTTCACAAACTTATTAATGAATTGTGCTAAGTATAGTGGGCAAATGGCAATAGTGGCTAAATCATGAACCTTTAAACCAATAACAGTTTCACTTCAAATTTAATGGATATTTAACTGTAAAATATTAATATTTTACATAAAACTAAGTTGAATGCCTTGAAAATATCCCAGGGGAAAACAATGCCTTGACTGCCAAAAGAGGTCGCTGTATTCATCATATAAAGGTGAATCCCAGCTATGGCAGATAGATACTAGCAAAGCTGATTTCATTAAGGTATAGAGCCAGGAGACTTGTAGGTTAGGAGCCTGACTCAGGAGTTTAAATCTCAACTAACAAGTTGTGTGACGGTAGACAAATTACTTCATCTTTTCTAAATCTCAGTTTTCACATACATTAAAAGAGAAATGCAGTAGCATAGACTAGTACGATTTCTGTGAAGATTAAGTGTAAAAACATAGGTGAATACTTACCATAGTGATGCCTGATTAGCTATCAATCTTCATCAGACTCTCCAGGATGACTTTCTTTGAATAAAACTAAACCAGGAGTCCTCCATTTTACAATCTACTATTCACCTTTAGCCATGGTGAATCATGCTATTATATGTTTTTGACAATCCCAGCAAAGGGGGATCACTGTGGTCATATATCCTGCCAGGTCTTCACATAACACTATGCTGCTTGGGAGATCTTATATAAGCTTACTGGGAACTGTAGGTCCCTGAACTGAATATTAGCAGACGTCCAAAGTATAATTCTTCACATTTCACTTACCACTCTCTGAACCATACAGACTCCCTGGGTTATACTTTTAAATTTCTTATCCAAGTTGCTCATGTTCTATGTTTCACTTCCAATAAAATTTATCTTTCTTTTTTCAAATGGAAATGTCAAAAAGCTCAAGATGTGCATACATGCATACTTTTTCTCATTTGCAGTGAGTGAAATCTTGTTAATAGAGAAGCTAAAGAAGCTAGAATAGTGAAACGCTATGATAGGAATGATGATGGTGATCAATGAAGCAATTGCTTCACATTTAATATCCTACTGAAATGTATTAACTGCATTAAAGAGAGAGAGAAAGAAATCTTGAGATGTCCTGTCAAATGAATAAAAAACCTTAATTCTAGATCTATAGAATTTATCAAAATAACCCAACTGTGCAACCACTGAAATTCTTATCATAGACAATTTAATAATGCAGTAAATTCTGGATCTTGGATATAAAAGCCATTCCTCCTTCACGCCCTCAACAGTTATCTTCTTGAAATTACACCTACTCCTCTGGGACTGGGAAGGACCCTCCTCTGGGACTGGAAAGCTGGGCCCAGTCACCTCAGCACGAGCTGTCCCTTCCAGTTTGCTTGTCTGTGACAGTGCTACCTGCCAGCAGCTTCCTCGTGTCTACTGGGCTGCTGCAGATGGAACAGACTGTGAATCCAGCTAGAGGATAAGAGGTTGTTTTAATTGGCTAAATCTGTGATGTACTAAGCGTATGGCCATGAATTTGTAGCCAAAACACTAATCTAAAAAAAATGTCATGTGCAATTAAAACAGAAAACAAAAATGACATTTTCACTCATCAATTCTAGTTTTGCCACAAGGGTTTTAAACTAACATTTTACAATGACTACCGAATCCTTACCTTTGCCGAAGTAGAATTTTCATGGTATACTCCTTGCACCAAGTCCCTGAGAGCACTTGCTAAAAGTTCCACAACCTAGAAAAAAGATAAAAAATTAAAAGAAATCGTTTTAAAAATTCATCTGCATTTTTACCTCAGAAGGCCTCAGAAGGCTTAGAAGCAAGGCAGTATTTGTGTTTGATAAGAGAAAAAAACAGAGTTATGTGCAAAGATTCTGGCAAGTGGCATTGCCCACCTGGATAGTAAGCTTTGATCCAATTTTTTTTCCAGTCATAAGTTAAGCAAAAAATCTTGTAAGCACAGCATTTAACTAATATACATGAAAATCCAGTAATTGCCATTTTGAACATAAAATTAAATTTTATGTGACTAATGAAATCTAAACCCAATTTATTTTCTGTATGTTTATTTCTGTCAGGTGGATACTTTTTCAATATCCCCATTCTGGGAGCCATTACAATGCTAATAGTCATACTTAATATAGAAAGAAAAGCAAATGCAAAAAAATAGTTAACCTTTCGAATGTGTTCATTTTGTTGTATTTAAAATGCACTATGGATATATTCAGTGTAAGGACTCTGGGTCAAACATACTTTATTTTCAAACCTGAAAATTTTTACAGAAACATTATATTTGAAATCATATTCATTAAAACATATTACTTTCAAGGTTCAGGCTATTTTAAAAAAAAACCACACACACAAACAAGCAAAATCAAAAGCCTTGAACTTGTTCCAGAATGTAACACAAGCAGAAAACAGTAAATTGTCTCTTTGGAACTACTGTACAATTTAGAGTTGTTTGCATAAACCATCTTAATTCAAAAGGATAAAATAGTGCTATTTATTATAATGATCATAGCAGCCATTTCAAACAAAAATTCCTCAAGGGAACCCTATCCCCTTCTTATGAAGTCTTACTATCTTGTATATTTAGCTTCCAATATTATACAGTTGTGTATTTGATTATCACTCTTTGTTTCCTAAAATTTAGCTCAGTTTTGATTGAATTAAAGGATTTTGTTTCATCTTTTATCATTCTTGTAACTGAAGACTTTTTAAACCAAAGGATACAGATCCAAACATCAAGTTATTTCAATTTCAGGTACCCTGGATTTAATAAACATTTTCTTTGAGGCAAATTATATTAATTTGTAGAAAGATTTGCTTTACAATCTTAACACGTGAGCACTTACCTCCAAATTTATATTTACATATATACTGTATAACACACACAAGGCTGCTGCTATTGAAATTTTGCTCATTAAAAGCATGTCTTTTTCTAGCTCTGCAAATAGGTTAATTTGTAAGACCTATACAAAAAAAAATTTTTTTTTTTAAATCGCATTGCCCTTTAAGTAACCAAATACTTAAGAAATATTGTAGCAATATGACCTGCAGAGGAACTGGAAGGACAATGATACTAGTATTACCAGATGTGTTGAGTTATTTAAGTGGGGAAAAGAGAAAAATGAATGGATTTTTTTTCCTCCTGAAGGTATCAGATAAGCCCTATTCCCAAATCCAGGAGGATTGAGTATCACCAATAGGTCTATGAAAGACTGTAACTAAATGCACAGCATCAGATTGGATTACAGTTTATACAAGCAACATCCCAAGATCCTCCTGATGGCTGGACACATAATACAGACCACTCACTCGCTAAGAAATGTTATGGTTTTGAAACAGTTTGAGCTCTGAGACCAGCGCTGGTAAAGCGAAGAGGGATTTACAAAGAGAAAGTCTGACACTAAGTGTCAAAATGACGGTATGAACTTTTGACAAAGAATCTGGATCTAAATGATGAAATCTAAACCCAATTTATTTTCTGTATGTTTATTTCTGTCAGGTGGATACTTTTTCAATATCCTCATTCTGGGAGCCATTACAATGCTAATAGTCATACTTAATGACTGTATTTCTTTACTTTCCTAAAATTCCAGACAAGGCAGACCTGTACTTACAAATTCATAATCTGTAAATGACCTACACTTCCAAATGGCCATACTTACTTGGACAGAATATACCTTCATAGCCAATGACATTGATCAAGGTACAAACTTTGGGTTATTGTGGGTTAACAAGTCCAGGAAGATAAGAGGTTACGAATAGCTTACGGGAATTGAATGTGGCCCAGGCAAGGGTGACGTACTCAGGGCACACATAAATCTCTTTTCATTGCCTAAAATGTTTATTTTTTAAAAATATATTTTTATTGATTTCAGAGAGATAGTGAGAGGGAGATAGAAACATCAATGATGAGAGAGACTCATTGATTGGCTACCTCCTGCACAATCCCCTGGGGATCGAGCCTGCAACCTGGGCATGTGCCCTTGACTGAAACTGAACCCAGGACTCTTTAGTCTGCAGGCCAAGGCTCTATTCACTGAGCCAAATCAGCTAGGGCTGAAATGCTTACTTTTAGTTACTAGTATATCAAAGAGAGATGTGTTTAAGTATCATCCTCCTCTAAAATTGCAAATATTTACAGGAAGACTTCAGGGCTACCAGCTACACTACTTTAACAAAACTAATCTTTTCTTTATTATACTAGGGGCCCGGTGCACAAAATTAATGCACTGGGGTGGGTGGGTAGGGGGTGTCCCTCAGCCCGGCTTTAGATAAGAGCAAACATGAGAAACATTGAAGGACTTTTATATCTCAAGTCCAAGGGGCCAAGCAAACACTTTCTGAAGAAGATAGTTGAAAAGAGCCTGGATGTTAGCCACCCTCAGAAGCCCATCAGATTAGACTGGAATGACACAGAGCAAGTGAGGAGCCACAGGCTCTACATTCTACTTCAAGGCCTTACTACTTATTCATTGTGAGATCTGGGGCAAATCAATGAATTTCTCTAAGCTTTAGTTTTCCTCAACTATAAAACAAGGAATGTTGCAGAACATAATTCCTTAAAGTCCCTTCCAGCTCTAAGGTTCTGAGCTTCTATAAATGTATATCTTAGTATTTATAATTAGGCATATAAATGTAAAAACTACTTTTATGATAATCTTTTCTTTTCTCAAGGACCTTTTCTTCTGTCTGAATTCTACTGATCATTTGTGAAACTTTTTGTAGCCAATCCCTCTTGGTTCCAGTACCTAGAATTAAAAGGAAACAATTTCCATTTTTTAAAAACCATTCTGCCTGGTAGTCAACACCACCAGCAGTAAAAAAGTCCTACTTAGGTTAACTGCGGAGACTAGGTCTTGGCGGGCTCTAAGGCTTGGGAGTAATTCACACTTATCAGATTCAGATGACATCAGGTTTGAGTGTAAAACTGCATCAAACAAATAAAGGCACTAGTTGTCCACTTCATTTTCTTCTCTAGTGAGTAAATATGTAGAGCACTTAGAAAAGCATCTGGAACATAGTAAATCTCATTGAGTGTTAATTTATTAATCTTCTATACTTCTATATCATTACTCTATATTCAATATAATATCTTGGTTAGATGAAAGGCATAGTATATTATAGAAACCAAGATTATAGTGTCTTTTATGTTGTGTGCCCAAACATTTTAGAAGTGGGTTTTAATTCAACAACAGAATGCACAAAGATATATTTTAACCAAAACCAGAGATCTCTGTAATATTGATTTGTTGCATCCTGAAATAATTTCAGATTATATGACTGCCACTATCAATGTTATACAATTACTTTAGCAGTATAGAGAGTAAACAAAATGGAGATTATTTTCTTCATTTGTGCATTTCTGGAGGTTGTAAAAATAGAATTGCTTACCTGTACATTCAAATGCAAAAATGCTTTTATCTCCAATTTGTGCCATATGTTTAAATTTGACTCTATAGCAATGCTGCACATTATCCCCCAATCTTCTAATACCTTAGATTTCAGTGAGCCAGAAGAAGTAACCATTCACAGCATGGCACCTCATTTTTTGGCTTCCAGGAAGGTCATGCAGTAAAGTAAGTGAACAGTGTCCTTCTTTCCAACTGGTATTCTTAAGCAACTGTTGACCTTTCTCATTTCACTCCTAACCTCTCACCAAAGAAAAGGACTAGGTAATAGTTATATGCACCTACGGTAAACCTTAGCACACATATCTGATACAACTGACCTTTGAAATAAATTTCATAAACAGCTATTTTACAGGACAAATTTCACGGGAAATATATGTATATATATATAATTGCTTCATTCTCTTTTGGCAAAGGGTAACTACAATTCAATGACCTTTTAAACCAAAAAATGAAAGTGATGCCTACCCTTACAAAAGGTGTTGTGATTATTATGCCCTGAACTATAATAAAATTCTCTTTATAAAAAATAGAAATTGAGAGAAGTAGTAAGAACACAATGACCAAAAAAATCCTCACATTGCCATACAAAGTTGTCTGTAACATATTCTTACAGGGAGTAAAAAGCTGGTTACACAAAAGAATAGCATGATATGTATTTTTATAACAAAAATGAGGCCAATTTATGTGTTTATATATGTAGAGAAAAAAGTATAAAAGGAAAGATAATATTAATAATGGCAATGTGTAAGTGGTAAGATTCTCGATGATTTAAAAAAAAAATATGTTTATACTGACTTTTCAGAGAAAGGAAGGGAGAGAAAGAAAGAGAGAAGCATTGATTGGCTGCCTCCTGCACTCCCCCTACTGGGGATTAAGCCTGCAACCTGGGCTTGTACCTTGATTGGAATTGAACCAGTGACCTTTTGGTGCATGGGACAATGCTCAACCAACGGAGCCATAACAGCCAGGGCTATTCAGGATGTCTTTTTTTTTTTTTTTTTTAATTTCATGACCATTTATTTATTTATTTATTTATTATTTTAATATATTTTATTGATATTTTACAGAGAGGAAGGGAGAGAGATAGAGAGATAGAAACGTCGATGAGAGAGAAACATCGACCAGCTGCCTCCTGCACACCCAGCACCAGGGATGTGCCCACAACCAATGCATGTGCCCTTGACGGGAATCGAACCTGGGACCCTTCAGTCCGCAGACCGACGCTCTACCACTGAGCCAAACCGGTTTTGGCCAGGATGACTTTTAATTAAAATATTTTTCTTCAACTTTTCTTAATTGCTTAAATTTACAACAT